GTTTGTTTTGTTAAACAAATTTCTATCTATGTTCATACTTTTTTCTTCTATTATCTTTATCCAGTTTTAGGATTAGCACAACATTGAGTTCCTAAAATGAGGGGAGAAGTGTTTCTTCTTTTTTCTGCTTTAATTGTTTGATAAAATTTATCAGTTAAAATGTTTATGGAGCCTGCTGTTTTCAAGCTAGGAATATACTTTCTTTAATAGGTGCTATTCAAATTTTTTATTTCCTCCAGAGTTAGTTTCATTGGTTTGTCTTCCAAGGTACTTCTTGGAAGTTGTCAGGTTTGTTTCAAGGAGGATTTTTGTAATATGCTTTCTATATCCTTCTAAATTCTGTAAAATCTGTGGTAATGTCTTCTAGATCTTAATATTGTAATTTTTTAAATGTATGGCTGATATTGTGTAGCAGGAAGGGGAGGTCTAGAAGACCGGGGGAATTGGGAGGGGTAGGGGAAGGGAGGAAAGGGAAAGGAGAAAATATGATGGAAGGAAAAAAAATGGAAGCAAGATCTTTGCAAGTGGGGAAGGGTGGAGGGGGTGAAGGGAGGGCAAGGGAAATGGGAACCAAGATACTCATGTAAAGGTCCAGGATCCCAATGATGAATGTAATTGTATTTTATACGGAAAATGTACCAATAAACTTAATGGGAAAAAAAAAATAACACTTGTCAAGTTTGGGTACAGTATCAAAGGATAGTCAAAATGACCAGAAAAAGCTATTAAAATACTCCTCTCTTCCAAACAATTATCTGTGTAAGGCAGGATTTTCTTCAAATAGTTTGGCCAAAACAGCTTATTACAACAAGTTAAATGTAAAAGCAGAGATGAGAAACCAGTTATCTTTAAAATATTAAAGACATTTACAAAAATGTAAGTTTTTGCTCTGATGTTACAAATAAATATAAATACAATTTTAATAAATATAAATACAATTATTTAGGCTAATTTGTTACAACTTACTATTATTTTAAAATAAGATATGTTAAGATAATTTGTTACAACTTACTGTTATTTTAAAATAAGATAACAAACATTTAAAATTTTGTTTTAACTTCTAATATGATAAATATTAGTAAATATAAACCACATAAACTAAAGCTCTTTGAGGTCCTCAGTAATTTTTCAGAGCAGCTAGTCTAGATGATATAAACCTTTCCTTATAAGTACTGTAGCATAATTGATACTATGAACATTTACGACTTTTAGGTTTTTAAGTTTCATAGACTGGGCCTGGAGTATAGGTCAGTGGTAAAGCACTTGCCTTACCTAGATTCAATCCCCAACACTGCTAAAAAGAAAGAAAAAATAAATAAAATTTTAGTTGACCATGGTGGCACACAAGTATACAATCGCAGCTACTTGGGAGTCTGAAATAGTATCACAAATGTGAGGCAAGCCTAAAAAACTTAGCAAGATCCTGTCTCAAAATTTAAGAAAGGCTGGGACAGAGTTCAAAGTTCAATGGTAGAGTGCTTACTTAGCATGCGCTAGGCCCTGGGTTCAATCCCCAGTACTGCATAATAATAATAATTTTTAAAATTATAGACTGACTTTTGAGGATCTTATTCAAAACGGACTCTGGGAATTATGGAAAAACAAGAGCAGTGAGGACTGCTGGCAATGCCCCAGCCCTCTGTAGTACCGAGGCATTTGGAAAGAACTCAGCTGCATGTGAAGCAGACCTTTTATTGAAGATGATTTCATTA